ATGGCAAGTCATCAGAAAAATAATGTAAATATAAGAAATGAATTTAATTTTTGAAGATTCATGAGGTATATGAACTACAACTCTTCACGCCGGCATGACGCGCTTCATGAAATATGCCGTCGTAATGCTACCTAGTTCATAACCTCATAAATCTTCAAAATCTTGAGAATACATCGACATCTTTTAGTTAGTTTAATGAAATATTTAACTGGAAATGAATCTAAATTAAAATCTTTTTTATCTCTTTTTTTTCGACTCTATTTGACAACTATAATTTAAAACACATACAGTGTATTGAAATAGGTAAAAGACACAAAAGAGAGGCCTTGAAATGATTTCTTTACATGACATTTGCTTTATGTACATGTATAATTCTTCTCTTAAGCTAGATCCACCTATAGCGTTACACACCCCCAGTTTCTGGATCCTCCACCAGTAGACTGATGTCCAGTAATCTCCACGGAATCTTAGGACTGTCCCCCATCAAGGTCAACGTGGCCTGGAAAATTATGTCATGTTTACAGATACTATATATATTAACAGTATATGAAACCAATCTTTTCTCTCAATTTTGCAATAAATTTTACGTGTAAAGTCTATGTATTTCAATTTTGCAACAAACATTATTAATGAAACGTCCATATTTCATCTTACCTAACAGTGTAATAGACAAACCTAGTAGGCATATAAATACCGTAAATTAACCAAGGGACCAAGTCTTACCTCAAATTCATGTTCAACATGAAATTTCACCCGACCATTTTCTATAATGAAAAAAAAATGTATGAAATAACTAATAGGAAATGTATGAAATAACTAATAGGAAATTTGATGACTGTCAATTTCAGGCCTAATATCTGACATTTTCATTCTCTTTTGATTAAAACCCAAAAACTCTTTAAAATCATTTACTTGTCATACTTGTATCTGTTTAGAAGCTCCCCAGCCATACATTTTTTCACTTAGAAACAGTTTGTTTATTAATATGTGATCAGTCATTCCTACTTCCATTTTTTTCTCTCATTTGTATTGTGTGATAGTAATACCCACCAAGTCATTTCCCTTGATGATGAAAAATCACACTATCAGTTCACTCATCTGCTGGGGGGGGGGGGGGGGTGGGGGTGGAGGGGATGTCAGCCTGTATTGACCTATATCTTACCTACTTTGAGTTTAAGTGACCTATATCTTACCCACTTTGAGTTTGTGTGACCTATATCTTACCCACTTTGAGTTTGTGTGACCTATATCTTACCCACTTTGAGTCTGTGTGACCTATATCTTACCCACTTTGAGTTTGTGTGACCTATATCTTACCCACTTTGAGTTTGTGTGACCTATATCTTACCCACTTTGAGTTTGTGTGACCTATATCTTACCCACCCCGAGTTTGTGTGACCTATATCTTACCCACCCCGAGTTTGTGTGACCTATATCTTACCCACTTTAAGCTTCCTCATCTGTTGAGGGAGATCTGTTGCCACTAGCCTGTACTGTATGACTTGTGTCAATCTCTGTAAGGTCTGTCTTTTCTCAGCTGAGGTTATAGCATCAGGGGGAACAATCTTGTCCTGTAACATAATACATTTACATACATGTATATGCAAATTAAAACAGATTGAGTACACTTTAATAAATGGGAGAAAATGAAAATTGATTACACAAAATCTGTACAGACATAATAGCTCTATCCTTCAATTTTGTAAAAGCTCCATGTACAAGCATGATTCAGAAGGAAATTAATTAGTAGGAAGACAGTGTGAGATTTTGTGGATAATTCAAGTGTAAAACTTCTTCAACAAAATATTATTAGCATCTGTGTCTCTTTGATATGGAAACTCATGTCAGGCAATTTGGGGGGAGGGGGGGTATGACACATACCCGGATACAGGAGGGGAGCCTGGGATACGTCCCCAGGGTCAGGACATCAATGGCACAGGGCAGGGAAAACGTGGGCAGCCTATAGAAACAGAAAAATGAACTTACAGGTCACAGGTTTAAATAAAATCATCAGGTGCAAAAATCAATGCCGTTAAAATTCACACAAAAGTTAATATTATTTCAAACAAAAATTTCCTTTTTAAATTAAAATACAAATCAATCTCCTTTTAAAAATTTGGTCTTTTACAATATTATTTTATAATAGACAAGTCATAAAATGATTCATAATTTGTTCAAGTGATTAAAATGAACCTGACCTTGCGTTGACCAGTGTTTCTCGCGCCATTTTGGCCAACATGTCCGCCGTCTCCACAAACCACATGGACTGGTTCTCCAGGAAACTACAGATCTCCTACAAAAGCAGGCTTAATTAATTACTTACTAATCCACAAAACTGCAGATCTCCTACAAAAGCAGGCTTACCAAATTAGTCAGACTTAGTCGAGTGAAATTCATAAAACTTTACAGATCTCTAGGTAAATCAGATGCTCAAACTAGTAAAATGTCACCTTAAAGTGTTAACCATATTTATATATTTGCATATCCACTGCTCTCTCCCACTATGAACATGTAGACATCAACTGCGTTCATAGCACTATAGACGCAATTGCTTCTGTTATGACTGCAATTGCTCTATCACATTCGTGTAGAACAAACTCCACTGCAATTGTAATACGTGTCGAGAAGTATATATATGAAACTTTTTGTAAAAGGAATAAAAATAAGTTTTTAATAATATTCTTTGAAAAAAAAGAAATTAAAAAAAATTAAAATTGCTGATTTATATCTTTAAAAATTTAGTTTTGGTCAATGTATTTAATTGTATAATAAAACTTTTTAAAGTTTTATAAAACTGCCATATTTTTATTTTTTTATATCATGTATATTTGTACAAAGAAAGATAACTCTTCACACTTGGGTAATAACATTCAGAAAACTAGCATAACTTGTATATATCTACTTCAAGAATAATTTCAGCTATTAAAAATAAATAGAAAAACTAAAAAAAAAAATCATAGAAAAGCATTCTGGAGTAATAATCATTATAAAAGCATTCTCATTTTTTTCATCATAGTGTTAAATCATTGATTTTTGTCAGAGGGTTTCAATAACGTTGATCGATGACGTCACAACTGCATCAAAACAAAAATTAAGAGAATGTTTTGACGGCGCTGCTTGTATCCAGATAATTGTGTTTGAGAGGGAAATACTTTATAATTGTTTGTGATTTATTAGATAAAAGGATCATTGATAAGGTGTACTGATTTTACAGCCGTATGTTTTTCATTACTGAAGACAAGAAGCCGCGTCCTTATGTAAGTCAGGATTTCCTCTGATATTCTTGAATAAATCAAAGAATGCAAATATAAGTAATAAACAACGATTATTCAGTGAAGATGGCATTATGAATAGCAATAGCTCTGCTGGCATATTTTCCAAGATGCGCTAACGCGCATCATGGAATATGCCAGCAGAGCAATTGCTATTCATAACGCCATGTTCACTGAATAACGTTGTTTATTTCTTAAATAACCATTATAGTTTACAGCAAATGCATATTGACAATATAGATTTATGGAATCAAGTACATGAAGTATTTAATATATTGTATATGTTAAAGAATCTTGCAGTTCCTGGAATTCAAAAGTTGCAACCTTGTTTTATCAGTTACAGATGAGGCTGTGAAATTAAATACAAGACAGACTGCTTGTTTTCTCACATCAAATAAAACACAAAACATTACAGAAAGAGTTTAATATCCACACAAGATTTACAAATGGACTGTAATAGCTGTGGTCAGTACTTACCGAGCACTTGTCCACCTTTGTGGCATTACTGGCCCACTTGACTAGAGCCAGTAACTGTATAAACAGCTGTCTGGTCCGGATAACATGGAGACATAGGTCAGTACTTACTGAGACATATAGACAGTCAGGTCACTACTTACCGAGCACTTGTCCACCTTGGTGGCGCTGCTGGCCCACTTGACCAGAGCCAGTAGCCGTATAAACAGCTATCTGGTCCGGATAACATAGAGACATAGGTCAGTACTTACTGAGACATATAGACAGTCAGGTCACTACTTACCGAGCACTTGTCCACCTTGGTGGCGCTGCTGGCCCACTTGACCAGAGCCAGTAGCCGTATAAACAGCTGTCTGGTCCGGCTGGCAAACTGGACAATCTCTACCTTTCTCTCCATGTCTGTCTTACGGGGAAGTCTGAAGAAAAAAATTAGAATAACCCAATCTGTAAATTAACTCACACTACCATAAAAGAATATGTAAGTAACATGTCAGTCTTATTGGGAAGTCTGAAGAACAATTAATCAATCTCTTCATTTACTTCATACTACTATAAAATAACATACTAGTAATCAGTCTCTTGGCTTATTTTTATAATAAACAACTTTTTACACACAAAAAAACATGACACCCAGCTAAAATGAGGAATTTCAACAATTGTCGTCTTATTAACTTTACAGACTTTCAAATTTAAGTATAATGCACAGAGAATTTTTTGAAGATGTAGCAATATATTGTGTACACTGCAAAAATTTATCAAAATGCAGGTAAAGTTAAAACTGTTCATTATCTATCAATATTCCTTCTTCATTAGGATACTTACAGTTCTGAAAGCACTGTTAACTCATGGTAAGTTCTCTGTACAATGTAGTCAATCAGAGTCGCCAGGGGGATAGTGCCCCCTCCTGGGGCCCCACCAGGCATTCCCATGTGGGAATCAATGATTGGTGGCATGGTACCCTGTTATAAAGGCTTAAATTCTGAAAATAAAAAAAAAAAAATGCAAATTATTTACTTTTTCACAGCAAATACATATAGATATTCAGAAAACTTCACGGCTGTTTCGGACTTTCTGTGCAAGTTATACAATGTAGTATCTTATTCTGAATCAACATATTCATTGCTATGTTTTGTTTCTTTTTTTTTGGGGGGGGGGGGAATTTAATTTTTGTTTCAGCCTTCGAAAAATCCTTTTTTGGGGCACATGCCCTTCGGGGAGGTATAACCACCAATAACACTAGCCCGAACAAGTATAATATCATACATGCCAAGGAATCAAGGAATTTATATATCTTGATTCTAAAATTATTGAAATCAAAAGGGAGGGGGGGGGTTCACATTAGATATAAGAAGAGGGTAAAGTAATGTATCACCAAAGTTACCCAGGTGAGCGATGTGGCCAATGGGCCTCTTGTCGCCTCGTACTCTTGCAGAATAGTGAGTTTGGATATTAATATAACATTGCAGATTCAAAACTGTCTGTAAAAATTAATTCCTTAATTTATTTCCTCCTTGCTTTAAAGTACCTATAATATAGATGCTTAAACTTTAAAACTTTGCATGGAGAATTTATTTAGTCCCATGAAAAACATGGGGCTGAATAAACTCTCCATGCAAAGTTCTACACTACCCGAGGATACTTCCACATAAGTCTCAGCTTTTGTGGCCTAGTGGTTCTTGAGAAGAAGATTTTTTAATGACCCCATCCTATTTTTGTGTTTTCTAGATTATCTCCCCTTGGAAAAGGCTTTGGCTCTTTATTTTTTTTTTACAAGGATGTTATATAATATTTTACTAAATACAATCGTTGCGTGTCACAATCTATTTGGAGAAAGCAAAAGACAATCCATTGTTTTTTTCTTCTTCTTCTTCTTTTTTTTTTTTTTTTTTTTTTTACATCGGACGTCATTTTTATTTTGCTGCAATGGATGAAGGAGCCAAAGACTTCTTTTTTTGGAGTTTACACCGTGTTTGGAGTTCGTCTGGACTGACGTATTTAAAGCAAAAATACATGTGACTTTTTGTTTATTCCTTACAAAAATATTTTGTGAAAAAACTGCATATAAGTAGCTAAATAAAGCTAATTTGAATAGATTAATACAGCTACCGGTATATATCTATTTGACTGTATGCTAAGAGATTGTATTGGACCTTTTCAAATCAACTGATATCTTTTGCTTTCAGATACACAGTCGGGAGGACTGCGAACAACTCCAACAAGACCTACATCACCTAGAGGAGTGGGAGAAAACGTGGGGAATAGATTTCCATCCAGACAAGTGTAACACCATGGTGTTCACCAGATCCCGCAACCCGCAGCTCTACAGCTACTCACTGAAAGGTCAGATGTTGGAGAATGTAGAGACCACCAAGTACTTAGGGGTATGGATAACTACCAACTTGTCATGGAGGGTCCATATTGATAAGACAGTTAAGAAGGCGAACTCTACTCTTCAGGGATTGACATTAACTTTTATATTCACTTGTCCTTCGGGCAAGTGAACTACAATTTTGACTTGCCCAAACGCAAAACTTAGTTGCCCAAAAATTTTAAAGAAGAAAATATCAGTTACTGTATCTTAATTTGATACTGTAAATATTACAGAGTTAACAAACTAATTTCTAATTTAAACTTAACTGCAAACAACTTTCCTGAAATTTACTATCCTGTACAGCAATGCACTAATGATATTTTCTTTCCTTTTCTTTTTCTTTTTTCTTTTTGAAAATTTACCCCTCCCCCTCCCCAAGCGATTAAGGTCAACTAAAAGGAAAACAGTTATCGTCTTTTGATTCAAGATACAACATTACCGAGAACAACTGGTGTTCTTTATATTCTGTAAGTGATTAAATAAACTATTCTATTATATATATTTCGTAAGAATGTATCGTAAGTTCATAATAAGTTGTCAGGCAGAGATTGAACGAAAGAAAACAGAATAACAAACCCGATTTCTAAATAAAGGTATGATCCAGAAGCGTTACCGAGGGATTCCGAATGCAAAAACAATGGCAGGTTTTTGGCGGAAATCAACTGTTCAATTCATTGTTTTGTTTATAAACTAATGTAAGATTTAAAAAAATGTTTCTATCAGAAATATCCACTTGCCCGATCGGACAAGTACATCGATGATTTCACTTGCCCGAACTGATGATTTACTTGTCCCGGGCAATCGGACAACCGTTAATGTCAATCCCTGCTCTTGGCTTCTTACGTAGGAACCTCCATATCACCAATGAGAAGACCAAGACAGAGGCATATATGGCACTAGTTCGGCCCACATTGGAGTACTGTGCCTCAGTATGGAATCCCCACACAAAGGATCACATCCATCGACTTGAAATGGTCCAGAGAAGAACTGCTAGGTACGTCAAAAATAGATACAGGAATACCAGCAGTGTTACAGACTTGCTAGACAGTCTCAAGTGGGAATCCTTAGAGAGCCGTAGGACTAAGGCACAGCTCGCCATGTTTTATAAGGCATGGAAAGGCCTGGTAGATATCCCGCTATCTCAGTATGTCACTCCATCATCAAGTCGAACCAGATCCACCCATTCCTACAGATTCCAGCATCATCAGTGCAGAACCAACATCTATAAGTTCAGTTTCTTCCCCAGGACTATCATAACCTGGAACACTTTACCAGCATCTGTTGCTGAGGCCCCTGACTTGGTACACTTCAAGCAGGGGCTTTCATCACTTTCCTTCTAGATGGCTCAGGGAGCAAGTAAGCTCTAGTGAAGTCAGTAGGCAATGCCGGGGAGACCTGTACTAGTAAGTCTCAGGGCCGCTACGGTTACCGGACTGGCTGCTGACAGAAGAGCTGAAAACTTCCTTCTTTTACCTTTTAACCGTTTTTACATTTCAATCTTTCTAACAATGTTGTCAAAGCGCTGCGCCGTTGAGTAATCATCAAAGATGACGGACAAACGTACCATGTAGATGTAGATGCACAGGAGTCGGCAGTTTTATCAATAAACCAGTGTAAACATAACCTATGAGCTTCGCGAGAGTAGCGAGCGAAGCGACAGGAATGCAACGCGTTTTTGGTGATTTTTACTCTGCCGCTTTATTTAGTCAAAATAACAAATGCATGCGACTCAATTCATGTCAGTTGATGTGTCCCACCTGATTTCTGTTGCATTCCCCTTCTTAATAGCCGTTATTAGCCCTAAAATCCAACATAAACAAAATTTCGAAAAGAATCAGCCACCATGAGGGTTTTACCGTGGCGTCACAATATATTCATAATGTGTTCATTAACTTAAGTATGTTTTACTTCATTTTAAAAACATTTTTTGGTATATTATTTCTTTAAAAATATTAAAAACACAAATAATTCAACGATTGAACATTTTCTTCAAGTTTTAAGTGTTTAAATGTAGGGGGATCCAAACTCAGTTAAACATAGAATCGTGACGTCACGGGAAAACCCTCATGGCGGCTGATTCTTTTCGAAATGTTGTTAATGTTGGATTTTAGGGCCAATAACGGCGATTAAGAAGGGGAATGCAACAGAAATCAGGTGGGACACATCAACTGACATGAATTGAGTCGCATGCATTTATTATTTTGACTAAATAAAGCGGCAGAGTAAAAATCACCAAAAACGCGTTGCATTCCTGTCGCTTCGCTCGCTACGCTCGCGAAGCTCATAGGTTATGTTTACACTGGTTTATTGATAAAACTGCCGACTCCTGTGGTAGATGAACTGGACGAAACTATTTCAAACGACAATCAGCAGTGTTTGTCAGTTTGGAGGTAACCAAGAGATGGTCATTACTTGAGCAAGAATTCATATCAAATAAGAATTAGCATCTTACCAAATTCTTTTCAACGTTAATTTGTTATTTTGTAGGTAGATGCGCCAAGAACCGAGTCGCCATTTTTAAATTCTGGATTATCGACCCTTGATAATAATTTGACAGATCGTTCAAAAAATCATTCGCGCAATAGGGCCTAGTGCAATTTATAATCAGAAACGGCGAAATATTATAAAGCGTCAAAATAAGGGATATTAAGATCCTTCTCCATTCTGCACATCAAAAAGTTCTGATTCTATGTTATTTTTTCAGTTACAGTAATCCACCCTATGATCTAAATAAAAAAAAAGAGAAAAAAAGAAGAAATCTCGTCCGTTTCGACAGCAATGGAGTCAATAAAAGTGTAATTAATGCAAATCACCCATATTCCCAAAACGCCAGCAAGACAATTTACGGCAGCAGACTTCTGGGGGTTGATCCTAGGTTATAAGCTTTCTTAGTTCAAGAAAAAATAAACTTCTACTCCAGGAAGTAGTACAAATACCCTAAAAAGTTACTGTCAAATATCTTTATTTACAAAATACGTTTATTTAAAAGAAAATATTGGACTGAAGAAAATAAGAAAAAAACAATCAAAAGAAAATATTCACTTGAAATTGAAGATATACACATAGCCAATCGGGTATACGTCTACCCATTCAGTACTCGTCTCCATCTTACTGAGAAAATATATTTTGAAATTGAATTATTTAAAAAAAAAAAAAAAAAAAAGAAAGGCAGCTTATTTTATTGAAGAATCACTTTACTATAATTAATTTCATCCCCCCAACCGAAAAAGACAATGGGGGGGGGGGGGGCAAAGGCTTCTAAATAACTAATATTCTACCTATAATTCTAACCCAGTAAATTTTAAGATCCCTCCCTCAAAACTGCAGACATTAATTTCTTCCGCACGAATCACATCTATTAATGTTAATTCGGCTTTTATTGAGTTTGCTATACGGAGAGAATGCTAAGGTTTTCTTGGCATGAAGATCATTTTTTCCGGGAGGGGGATGCAAAGAACCATTAATAATGGTTCTTTGCCATTAGTTTTACAGTATATCGTTTTTTTTTTTTTTTGTTGTTTTTTTTTTTTAATTAATATTTTTTTACACGCCAGGATCGAGCAATCCCCTGTGAATCTGCCTTTCAAAAGCTGAACGTCTATTTCATTTTATTTGAGGATAATCAACAATATATACCTAATCCTTATCCATTACATCAACAGATAAATATTTCACATGTTCACTGTGACGTTTGTATTCCCTGTGATACACCCTCCTTAATTGGGCGCTGGTAGGAGTTCCTTTCTGACTGATGATCGGAGTATCTTAATGATAAATTGTATTTGCTGACAAGGTCATGGGGGCAATGCAATAAGTTATCTATTACTAGACAGTAAATAATTAGATATTTGGGTATAGAACAAAAATTTTTCATTAAATCATGGAAAGTGCCAAACCCTTTCATTGATTTCTCTTAGAGTGATTGTGATTTCCCACCCAGCTTCATTTTCAAGGCTAAAGAATAAGCATGTGTCTAATCATCCCACATCCCCAACCCCCCACTGCATGGATATGATATCTTAGATCTTAAATCTCTCTGGGAAAATTTGTTTGCTTTTATTCATTTTTTTTACCATGCCATGATAAATATTTTGTTTCCATCACAAGGCTTAACTTCTCAGTTGATGAAAGTCTTTCCGATACCTGAGTAAAGAAGCTTTTTGTAAGAGAAAGGACACTAAGACAGTGATGTGTACAATTTATCATAGTATTACTTTTTTTAGTACATGTGCAATGACAAACATACAGGATGGTTGTAGATTGTAAAATCCACTACACTGTACAATCCATTAAATCAAGCAATCGACCCACACATTAATTTACTAGACATAATTGATGTATTATGGTAAAAATATATTAATTTCAATACATGTACATGTATGCATTGGAATATGAAAATTTTTAATATAAGCATGTCCTCAAAATAACAGATTTACTTAATTATGTACAAATTACATACAGATATTTTGTAATTACAACATATATGTATTTTGATACCACCATTTCCTTTTTGAAGCACTTTTTATATACAACGCAATTGTCATACCAATTCCCAACAGAGAACTTGAAGTAAAGTCAAGAAAATTTGATAAATATCCAAAATGATTACCTACCAGTTCTTAATTTTATGATATCATATTACTGACATTTATTCACATTTAATATAATATATTTTCATTTATTCCAAAAATTGTTTTTTTTTTCAGTGTACAGTGTAACCTCGCATTTGCAAGTGTTTTTTTTTTTTTTTTTTTTTTTTTTTTTGAATCTACCCATACCTACATGTACACAATTTTTTTTATTCTGAGTCAGCTATAGAAGAGCCTGGCAAGCAAACATATTCAAAAAAAATATCCTAACAATTAACAGTCTGACCAAAAATAGTGACAGTTCATTACAGAGAAAGGACTGCATATTTTACAATTAAATGACATTTTACATATATTTTTATCTAATCTATAATTTTAAAAATCAGATAAAAAATTACAAAATGGTGATTTGGATGTACAGAGTATACAGGATATAGATAAAAAACAGATTCATTAAAGTACTTATAGATACATGAAATTCTTATTAATCCCCTTAAATTTTCCAATCTGATGCATCTTGAGGACAGATGATACAAACAAACTTTTGTCAAAGAATTTGAAAATAACAACATGGATCATATTAATTTGAATGAGTAAATTGAATAGAACTTTCACCGCATAGTTTTTAATTTTTCATTAAAATTTGCACAAAAATGGAATTTGAATTGAAAAATATTTGTATAGATTAAAAAGGATGGTTTCAAAAGGGCAGACTTTTGAACACCACAGAAGGTTTACAATTAATCTCATAAAATAAGAATAGTTATTTTTTTTAACTTAAATATTACTTCATAATATTATTTACGCTTAATTTAGTACCAAGCTACAAAAGTGCTTGCAGGGAAACATATATATGAAGCAAAAATAGTTCGAAGTTCGTGGACACCTGTCATATCTTTTTTATTTGACGTCAAACGTTATTCAAATTTGATAAAAATATTTTAATAATAAATCCAAATGTTTTGAATCTTTTTTTTTCTATAATGATTCATTCAAAACTAATCAAGATTTCGAAAATGCAAAAATCGGATCGCGGAGCAGGTCAAAATTAAGTATTGTAGATCACTAAAACGCAACACCTTATATTTCCGTGAGAAAGTGATTGGCTCTTGATTAGCGGGACAAAATTTTCACGAATTGTGGCTATTGCTCTTTATAATCTAAAGGAATACTACCATAGGAGAGAATTAAATTTTCGCAAGCACACGTCTCGCGTAATTGCGCGAAAATAAAGTTCCCGCGAATAAAAAGTGTTTTACAGTAATTTACAAACAAAACACTAAATAATAGTCATATTCTCTGTAAAATGAAGCAAAAGCAGAATACAAAGTAGAAATTCAAATTAAGAATTGTTACATCTATTCCTATTCCAAATTATGGCGAAATATTTTGCTTTGTTGAAAAAGAAATCAACTTGAGAAGATAGGTGGTCCACATTGAAAACGACAAAACGATGGCATTTTAGAACATCACGGAGCATCAGAAAACAATGCAATTTTTTGATTTAATCAATAAAAAAAACCCATCCTGAATACACTCAAAGAATGTTGAAGGAATTAAAAAAAGATGTCACAAAAAAGTTGTGCATGTGTGCACCAATAGTACAGACAATACAAAAATGTTATTTCAAAATAAATAAATTGATCTCTGTGTTATCGAATAGTACGAAAGTTTACATATCAACAAAACGAATATTTTTACACATTATAGTGTGCTTATTTTAAATTTCTATTGAGTATAATAACTAAAATTGACATCATCCACGAACTTTTCGAATTTCAACCCTTATGTAGTATCACAATTCAGTAAGTTGTAAAGAGTTAATAAAATTAATAGTGTTAATCATGTTAATTGACAATCCTCATACATATGTATATACATGTATAAGTAGTACAAGACAGGTAACAGAGGTCTTCATGGTCCATGAAATAAACTCTATAAAGCTCACAATGTTTCAAGTTAAACATAATAACTTATATTGAAAAAAAATTAACGTTTCATTAGAGGAATAGATCCGGAAAAAAGCTACGTTCGTGTAAAACTACCTGTATTAGGTTGGTAGAGAAGCTGCATATCATCGCTAAAACCTATATCTGGATACTGACCTTCTGTGTCATAAGGAGAATACTGAAGAAGATTCTCCATACTTAGAAATGTTCTGAGTTTCGGATAAGATCTTCTACATTGTACAGGGGTCAGCCCTTTATTATTTACCTTAGTAAACATAAACTCTCCTTCTGGTCTTTGTAGAATGAAAAGCATATTAACATCAGAGATAGAGTGCCTTTCAAACATATGTAGTATTGTATCACCATTAATACGGAGAGTAAAATTATAATCGCACAGATTATTAAATTCATGTAAGAACTTCATGACCATGTTTTCACTCTGCCCTATGTTAGCTAGTGCCAACAAAACATTAACCATTTTAGAATCAATTAAATTTGATCCTTTTATCTTCTTACAAAATACATTGAAAAACTCGTCCCTACCATGGTTTATGCAAGTATACAATACAGACAACACGTCCTCATATGTGAAAGATACTACATGTATCAATGGAAGATATTCCAGGGCAATATCAAACTTCTCGTTTGAAAGAGAAATCTTAACAATATATTTGTAAGCTAACTGCTTTCCATTCTCAGTTGTCATTAATTCTGTAAGTTTTATTAATTCCTCTTTCAAATCAATACTTGTAGACTCATACGGATGAGTCAGAGTTCCGATTATTAGCCCAAAAACTGTATTTCTTGAAAACACATCCAGCTTGTCTCTATCTATCTCTAGCTCATCATCTTTGGATAGAAGTAAATCTAGAATACCGAAAAAACACCTCTTAGAACAACTCATAGAAGCTACGTGAAAAAAACTTGTGCTATCAGCATCTTCTTCCAAAATATGAGCCACTAGTATTTTTCGAAATTCAAAGTTATTAATGAATTGATTGAAGGTTTCAATAAGATCATGAGTCAAAATTACATTTAATATATCAGAGTCATATATAAAAACGCTGGAAAATCTTTTGACTGTTTCACTAGCTAAGATATCTCTCTTGTAACTGCAAGCCCCAGCCACAAACGAATCTAAAAAAGCTCTGAATTTAGGATCTTCCTCCACTATGTCCAAAAAACAAGACACCAACTGTTCATCGTTAAAAGATGGATGCTGGTAAACAACTGTGTAAGCATCAAACGTATTAGGAGCAAAAATATCTATCAGTTTTCTAGCTAGAGCTTCTGTCATGTCATCTTCTAAATGTACACAGATTTCCCATTTTTCTGGTTTGTAATTATGTGACCTAACAAATGTAAATAAATCGTTCCTGTTCACAAGTTCTAGAAATGGAGATGGAAAACTTTCCCCAAAGGACAGTAAAATTGCTTCATACACAACCATATGCTTAAGTTTGTACCCATCATCTGTACTATGTACAAAAGTGTTCTGTAAATCTTGAAGGCTACCCTGAATTTCAGCTTTGTTCAACTGATGTGATATGAAATGAAACAAATAAATTTTCTCTGCAATTTCCTTTATCTTTGATCTTTGTTTCATTATCTCTTGTATAGAGTACACTTTTTCTGTTAAAACCTCCAAGAAGAACAAAACTAATATAACATAATGCAAATACATTTTTTTGCATAACAAGTCATCCACGAGTTTTTTAAAATGATTGCATGCTGAATTGATGGTGAAAAAATTTGACCTTTGTTTCAAGGACTCTGGGTTGCTAAAAAACTCTTCACATAATAGAGGAAAACCACTAACTGTTTTCGATTGTGCGATATTATTCAAAGTTTCCTCACAGAGACACAAAGCACTGGGATCAAAAACCTCAAAAGATCTATTCTCTTCAGACTCAGACCAACAAACTGAAATCTTATAACATTTACAATAGCTGTACAACATTGATTTCTTTTGTTTAATGGTCATGCCAAAATCTGAACCTGACAAATCAACATTAGAAGTCTTAAAGAGGTTAAATAAAATATAACCTTTGAATTCATCCTTCTTTAAACCCCAAATACAATTTCGTAATGAAAAAATAACAAACGTAGGGAATTTATCATCACTTACACGAAGATGCATCGCATCAAAAACCCTTCTCCATTCTTCAAAATCCCTTTCACTAACACTTGACTTTCCTATAATATCATCAACAAAAATAATAAACTTTTTATCTGGTGATATAAATTTAAACCACTGACTACTTTCTGTGAGAATTATAGGTGTACAGTCTAAGTTTTTCCTCCTTATATGCTGCATCAGCTGAAGTCCGAAGCTGGTCTTTCCACTTCCTGCCTCCCCTGTTATACAGATAAATCTGTGCTTCTCCATATTCTTGAGGCAATGTTGCATGGCTCTCTTTGGTTCTACATAGATCTTCTTTTCATGAGCTTTTAGCTGTGACTCAGTGTAAGCTATAGATATTTAAAAAAAATAGAAATTAGACAACTAAGGGATCAAGTTTAAAAGAAAATATTAACAACTTAACATACATATGTATTTAATATTAAATCAAAATAAGTTTAGCATTTAGAAATTACTATCAATATCCACATTTATAAGCTTACAATACATGAGGCAGATGTCTCTGAAGAGACTGTAGCTTAACTGGTTTCAAATTCTAAAAGTCCTACAGAAAAGTTGCATTTAGCCTGTGTCAGTAAATTATTCTTTATCAAGTATTACATTTACAATAACGGCACCACAAGGCAGAGCATCCCTTCACAAAAGAGCATTTCTATAATTCAAGGCAGACTTCATTTCAATATGGATATTGAAACAAATTATATCATTTTCAATGTGCACACATGGACACCTCTCCCCCTAACCCCCCCCCCCCACCACACACCCACACCCTCACACAAGCATGTAACTATATCTCCACAAATTCAATACAGATCGTATTTCCCCTTATCTGCCATCATGTAGGGCAAAGTAGTGACTTTTCTTCTTTGAGCAAATAATTTTAAACATGCATGCAAGAAATATATGGGGGAAAATATTTACAAATTAATAAAGCTCTAACAAACGTAAATTCGTAAGAAAAATAGTGTCATCTTTACCTAAGTAACCATTATAACAAATTGAACTTGGTTGAATAATGAAGGGATCTGGGAATGTTTCGATCTGCAGTATTGCAGCCATGGGGAAAACTCGCTAAAATCACCTCCATGGAAAACACTCTATCATGCATCTTAATGTTTTCCACCTGTGTATCAAGTTATGTAATGAAATGTGACCAAAACTGGGGAAGATGAGCTGCATTGAATATTTTACAGACATATGAACAAATGACAGGCTCTTGACTATTGCCATCTCCTCTGGTTCTAACATTGAAGCTATCTAAACAAAACTAGAACTGTCCAAACGCTACAAAATACCCCCCGCTGGGTTTTTCAGAAGTACGTTCTTCCATAATAAAGATATGTATCAAACACGAATAATGAAATTTTTTTTTCCAGTGACCTTGAACTTCCCCAAATGACCTTGGGTTAAGGTCATGACACACCCTTAGGTCATGGGCAATCTTTGTGTGAAATGAAAACCTACCAAGTTTATCCATAAGAAAGATATGGACCGGACAGGAATTTTGAAATTTTTCTTCCAGTGACCTTGAACTTTCCCAAATGACCTTGGGTCAAGGTCATGACACATCCTTGGGTCATGGGCAATCTTTGTGTGAAATGAAAACCTACCAAGTTTATCCATAAGAAAGATATGGAACGGACACAATTTATGAAATTTTTCTTCCAGTGACCTTGAACTTCCTCAAATGACCTTGGGTCAAGGTCATGACACATCATCGGGTCATGGGCAATCTTTGTGTGAAATGAGAACCTACCAAGTTTATACATAAGAAAGATATGGACCGGACACGAATTATGAAATTTTTCTTCCGGTGACCTTGAACTTCCCCAAATGACCTTGGGTCAAGGTCATGACACACCCTTAGGTCATGAGCAATGTGAAGTAGTAGATTCTAATGTCCCTCTGTAAGAAAGATATGGACCGGACACGATTGCACAGACAGACGGACGGACAGCTAGACAGACGGACAAGGTGATTCCTATATACCCCCCCCCCCCAAAAAAAAAAAAAAAAAAAAACTTCGTTTGCCGGGGATATAAAAACTTCGTTTGCGGAGGGTATAAAAATCAAGACCAGAAATAACTTACAAAGCAAGCTTTCCAGCTCAGGGTTATTCTTTGGAAATCTCACATCCTGAAAGAAGGAAAAAGTTATAAATTTTAAAAGTATTATTCTGAGGTGCATATACATGTAAATACTTTATATGATCTAATTTGTTCTGGTGATATATTTTATCTTGCAGAATGTGGATATAAACATGATGTAAGAAAAATGGCATGAGCAAGATTAAGAAAATAAAGAGAGAGAGAGAGAGAAAGAGAAAGAGAGGGGGAGGGAGAACCTGAAGTTGAGTTGCTATGGTTGCTACATCACTGCAGACTTGTGTTAATCTCTGGCAGAGCTCAGAAATCTGTTGTCTATCAACTGGGCTGCCAAACTCCTCCTGGAAAAGAACATTTAAATCTTTTAAATTTAGTATGCTTGATATTACTTGTCTACCAGGGACCTTAAATACTATTACTATATAGGTACCTGTTGTCTACTAATATTTTTCCATTCAAGTGCAGTATACATGACTTTGTTTACATGAGAAAATTTGATTTTTGTTATATCTACTCTGTGTACTTTATTTATAAAAATAATACATATACATATGCATTACCACCGTTTTTCATCATTTGCCTTTGATATATATACATGTACAATTAACCATGTAATGATGTTTATACCTGTAGCTCTTTCCAAGTGTTTATAGATGAGATGGTGTCTTCCTTGGACAGAGGACGCGTTTTCAGTCTGTCCACTTCAACCCTGATCTCTGAGTAGAAATATGGCTCACATTTTTCCGCTACTTCTTTTATTGCATTAGATAACTGCAGCCAAATCCTCGCAAAGCTGTCACCATCTACCTCAGCGTTCCCCTTGTGTAACAACTCTTTATCATTCCTCAATTTTCGAATGTTTTCAATAACTTGTTTCTGTCCTAAATCTTCTATAAGAAAATTTTTCAGCAAACAACTTGTGAGGGTTATGTCTAATTCAGTAGCATGTTTATTAAGATCTGTATGAGGTGAAAGCTTGCAGCAACAACAGCCCCTGAATTTAGGTGAACAGCATTGATCTAAATTTTCGTACAGCTGTCCTAGAACATCCTTGGGCAAAGGTGGTTTACCTCTATAGTCGTCACCCACAGGGCATTTGCAACATTTTTTGGAAAGTGTCAAATGAAATATATCATGCTTTTTTTCCTGCAAAAAATCACATAATTTCTGCCATTTTTGATTTCTGAGTTCATATTCAATCCTGTGTTGTAAAACTTTGGCACCATATTTCATCAAGAGCCATATGAGTTTTAGAAAGTTTTTCTCCTTCACATCAGCCATTGAAATTGCAAGTAGTCCTTCCCTCTGAAAAAGGATGTTAAGTATAATTATATATCTCTAGCTTACTTGACGTTTTTAGAACTTGAAATACCCAGTATTACTAAATCAATAGTTCCAATATAAAAAATACAGTTGTACATCTATTCCATGTGTTTTAGTAGGAACATGGTAAGAGAAGATTTGTTAATTGGTTTTTATCTGTAAACAAAATATACAAAACAGAAGGATGTTAGTGATGTTTTCAACATTGAGATAACTTTGTCTTGTCATAAGCTTATTAGAATTTTCCTCCTAAACAAATATATTTTACATGTAAAAGATATGTCCCGTACGATATACCAATAACTAGCTCCAGGACATTTATTTGTGATACCAGTAACATAAAATCTGCTTTAATCTCGGCCCTACTGACCTTAAGGATAGGATTTTATAAATAATCATCTGATATTCAGGACTTTAAGTGTAAAACTTGGATCAATCCTTACTATTTAAAACAACTTTACATTGTTTAAAAATGACATTGGTAAAATGACATGCTCCTTCATTTGAACTTGAATTCTCTTCAAGAATAGATTCTCTGTGGCTAGTGTGATTAAAATCGTTGTAGTGGTTTTGTTAAAGAAGGAGGAATTGTCAAAAATTTATCAGATAAACAGGGGCGAAGAAAAACTGTGATTAGAAAAGTTCATTTGAACCTACAGTTCATGTGAGTTTAGACGAAACACTAAGCCAAATTTTGTTTTTTTCTGGCCCAGTGGCGATTGAGAAAAAGTTTCTTAAATACAGATGATATAAATGTTTTTCTTTAGGGGAGACTAAGAATCATGTCACAAGTTTAGAAAAGTGGATAATTCTAAGAAATTTTTATCCTAAGAATTTGAAAATGAAATAGACTTGGAAAATATTAGTAATATTTTCATTATGATTACAAGTATGAACAAAACACAGGAACACATTTAGTACAGGATTACAGATGAAAACAAATTTCAGAATATGTTACCTTGGTGCTAAAGTGTAATATAAACGTGAGAAAACTATACCAATCCAGATGAATTTTGATAGGAAAATCAAAATGGTAAATATCAGTCTATGTGATATTGCTGATTTTTTGTCATTCTGTTTTTCCTCATAAAATGAACCTGGCTTGGGATATCATTCTAAAGTTTATATTACACTTTAAGCACTATAGTAAACATATTCTGAAATTTGTTTTCATCTAGCTGTAAACCTATTTTGAGTGTTATATGTCTTTATTTATTTTTTATTGAAATAATTCTAATATTTTACAAATCCATTCCATTTTCTCATGGTTCTTAGGAGGAAAAAATCTGAGAATTATCCACTTTTCTAAACTTCTGACATGATATAAAGTCTCTTTCAAAGAAAAAAAAACTGTTTGTATCATCTGTCCTTCAGTCTCCAAATTTTCACTATAATATTTTTTCATGCTTATTAACTCTTCAAAAAAGGTAAGACACTGGCATTCATTTCAACAAATCCTAATCCCTCGTATAAAAAAATATTTTGTTACCAGTTTAGATGAAACTAACAAAGCCAAATGGCTCCGGAGAAGGTGATGTTTTAAAACAAGTGACGTTCAGACTTCAGACAATGAACAGTCTTCCTTCAGACATTGGGTAGGTGAACAAGAGAGAACCATTTGTATTGTAGTGTAGTATACATAAATTGTTTGTTAATTCCCCCAGTATATATTGATAAAATGGTATGAGCTCAGGTGAAGTCTGAATGAAAAAAATGTGCTATATCAAAATGATCAGGTCCAATCTTAAGACTAATTCAACCTACATTGCCATATAAGCGTACTAAAATTAACAACTTCTATACTTACTTTTAATTGTCTTTAGAAATAGAAATAAAGACACATCTTTAAAATATGTCAGTCGACTTGTTCTTTGTCAGACTGTACACTTGCATGGCCAAAGTTGGGATGTAAATTTGTGTTCCTTGCAAAGGTGGGGTCTTGAGAGGGAATATACATACAGGAAGAACTGTTTCAAAACCCATCTTCACAAAGTCAGGGGGTCATGAGCACACATATTGCTGTGAGTGGCTCTGGAGAAGTCTTCAGACGTTTGACACTGAACATTCTTCCTTAAGACCTTGGGTACCTGAGATTAAGAGCTACTTTTGACAAAATAAATGTAATTTGTTTTCTTTACATTAGGAATTGCTTCTCTCATTGGGAAGCACAGATTAAAATGATGCTTACATACATATAAATGTAGGTATGCAGAAACGCATAAGTTGATATTTGAACTGTATATGTTACAAGTTGTTTATCACCAAAAGGTGTTATTTTACTGTTATTTGTAATTTTTGCGAAGAAAATTGCTGCTTCTCAGCCCATAAAATATCAAATAAAGTAAGACCGGGATCCGATTAGGCAACGTGTTGACTCAGGTTCCCTGAAGATGCCCGAAACGTATATTTTTGGATAAATGAAGGAAAGTTTTGAAATTAAGGCAGATCTGTTAGTTAAGTAGGTAAAGATAGCTACTTGCATGAGCAACTGTTGGACTAAGTATAAATACCGGGTATCTTCATAGGCAGTTGTACTTTGACAGTAAGAAATTATAGTTTTGATCTGGACCTGCTTATCAGGGGCAAACATGTTAGCAGCTATTTATTGCATTGATGATGTTGCACGGAACAATACTTTCCACGAATTGCATTTTTACCAAAACCAGTCATAATAAAAAGAAAGTAGATTGGAAAACCGAATATGGCTTACAGCAGTTTGTCCCGTCCGATTCCTGGTGTCTTTAATTTGAGTCTAGTTCCAATGAAGTCAACCTACTTTGAAAATAGAATCATCATGATGTGGATTCTGCTCCATACAACTCTTGAATCCTCTGAAATATTTGATGAATGATCATATATTGTTCTGGTCGATAGAGAGCGTCACTGCCGTCACCAAGTTTACCTTGTTCTGCTCTAATTCGTTTCAAGTAATTGAATGAAAAAATATTGGGGGTTTAAACTTTGTAGAAATTGTGTTATTTTTGAAAAGATCACTGCATTTCAAAAGTTTCAAAAAGAAAAATGTTCTTATAGTTTTAGAATTGTGTCAATCTTCAAATTATGAAATTGATATATCTGGCCCTCTCGTTCTCTAAGAAAAGTTATGTGTTATTAATATTGGAGTAGGGTTATTAGTACATTTCGATTATAAGTTCATGTTATGTTTGTTGAAACTCTGTGGATGTTGGAGTAAAGAAGAAGGCATGGTTTTAGCTTTATTGTGCCCTAAAAATGTAATGACATCAAAAAGTTTTAAACTGGCTCAAGTATTAGTTAAATAAATGATAAATCAGGAAAGAATATGGCATGAGGGTTTACTATTCTGCAAATATGACGTCATTAATGTGAAACATTTCTCTATTTTTAACTGAAAAAGCCTCAAAATGGCACATTTCAATGGTGATTTTCCTTTAGAAAACAGTGTCCACAGCCGTCGCCCACGTTAATTTTTAAATACTTTGTGCAAAATTCAATAACAAATCACATATCTCAAGATCTTTGTGGGCGATGCCTGTGGACAATGTTATCTGATAGAAGATCCCATTAAAATTGGTGTCTTCTGCAACTTTTTAAGAAAATACGGGAAAACGCACGTTTATGATGTCATAATTAGCATTTAAAAACACATGTAAGAAAAATAACTGGTATGATTTTTCTGCATTGATTTTCAATTATTTAAAAAGCATGAGTTTTCAACTTTTACACCAGTTTCATTTTTTAGAAAATCACAGGGCAAATTTGTATGGAAACTATACCTTCTTCTTTAAGCTGTGACAAAATAGTTTTATTGGTTTTCCGTGGTAAGTAGATCAAAGGAATAAAAAATATGAACAAAATGCACTCAGCAGTCGAGCTGCATTTTACTATTTGTGTCTGTATATATATAATAAAATTAAATTGTTTTATTTATCTGCTGGAATGTATTGTCTATTTATATATCTGTAAACATTCAATATTTTGCTCCATGATCCAACCCAGACAAGGTGGGTTTTTTCGTCATAACTCAGGCTCTGCCTCAGTGGACAGTCACCCACCCACCCCGTTTTTCTGTCCGTATTATTGATATGAAATGACCGTCTTTGTCAAGCATTTGTATTGTGTCGGAGTTAAATGAATCATTATTTAAATCTTTTACATCTAAATATGCCAGGCATACAAGCAAGTATATTTTGAATATTTCATCTAGTCAGAAATGGAGAAGAACCCTAAGTATACCGTAATATTTTTTTTAATTCAGAGATACTATTTCATTGAATAAAAGTTTCAATAAGGTCATGAGTCAAAATTACATCTAATATTTCAAATTTAAGGGGGATGTCCGGCCACCTTTAGTGCAGTGAGAACAAAATGTAAACATTTCTTTAAATGGCAAAAATACATTATGATCAAATTTTAAGTCCTTATGATCAAGATACAATAAATATGCATAACTTGATGCATGTTGTGTATATATAATCTATACTTTTGCAGAAAAATGCTTTTGATATGCTCTTTAGAACTGCGCAGCTACAGAATTAAGCAGAGCCTTAAAAAATCAAAAAAAACAAAAAAACAATATGCAAACTGTGCATTAATGTTCTCTCTACAACCATTTGTTGAGAAAATGTCTAAATTTGCACTTTTAAATGATAATGTCAAGTTCAAAACAAGGTACCGTTGTCTTCAAAAAGAGTGTAAAGAACCTTGAAAGTAATTCATGGATAGCTGCACGTGGTCTATTTTTAGCACAGAATTCAGACCTCTTCTTTATATGGAGGGACATAACAATGTTTAAATGTAGAAGAGAATTACAGTTGCAAAATATTTCAAATAATATGATCACTTTTTAAAGGAGGAAAGGTGTTATAGTATGGCTTGAAATAATTTATTTAGTAACAAATTATTGCATTCTTAAAGAATTTCTCTATTGTAGATGTCACATTATAAAACCCCAGTCGGTTCCCTTAAAAGAAATGATAATTCTATAAAATGCCAAAAATTTCAATTTCTCTTAATGGAAATTAACTTCCAACCGCAATGCTTAACTTCTGTAACGCTAACCCCCCCCCCCCCCCCCCCCCCCCAATTTTAACTTCAGTAATATCGGATTCATGGGATACTTCAAAAATCAGTATTCATCTTTATTATGAACATCAAAAATCGAAAAATTGGAAAAATTCAGTTTAACCATTGAAAAAATGATAATAAGCAGTGGTGGATTTAAGGGGGGCGCACCCCCCTAAAATTGTCAAAGTTAGCATAAACATAGTTTTGTCGAAAGTTTTTTTATGTTTAAAACGTCTACTCGCAGTACTTGTTAGACCTCATTTTTAACCGAAAAAACCTCTAGAATCCATGAGCCTCACCAAGCCTCAAGGTGGTATCAGTCCCCCTGCCTAAATCTCCCCCCCCCCCCTAACTTCAATTCCTGCATCCGCCCCTGATAAGGCATCCGTATAACTATCTTAAAACCAGTAGTATATTTTACATGTTTTAATAACTGTTGCAAAAAGTTAAAGATACATGTACCAGATTTGTGAATATTTATGAACATTCATTTTTAAATTAAAATGTAAACAATGTACATACTAGATAATGTGCAAGAAAAAGCGTTAAAAAGAATTCTTCTTTCACTGTCATTTTCAATTTTTAGAGATATATTATTAATATTAATGTTAGTCTGATTATCAGTCAATTACGTAGTCTGTCTAAACCAGTCAATCACTCTTACCAACTACCGTATGTTACCATACGTATTTTTTCGAGCTTCAAGTCTAAAATTGTTTTAGTGGGTTCGCTTTTGTACAGATCTTTTCTCATTTTTAAGTGACTATCCGCTGTTTATACAAGGAAAGAACAGACTTTAAATGTGGCTGCTCAACAAACAGAAAAAGTGTAAGAAAATGCTTTCAGAAGGGTCAAACAAGCACATCAAAATCGTCGAAAATTCACCCCCCCACCAGGGCTTCGCCCTGGACCCATTGTGGGCCTTAATGCGAAACCCAAACCCCAAGCCTATCCAGGCGTCCACATCAAATGTACCCTGGCTACGCCCCTGGTGTACGTATTGATAAAAAAAATCAAACTCTTTGATTCAAGGTAAGGAAAAATGAGCACCATCAAAGTTAAAAAAAAATAAGAGTTTGGAAGTTTGCCACAGATAACTTATATTATCTATCAAACTTTTAATTATCATCGATTAAACACAAAGAAATCAGACACATATAATCGATATGAATGACCTTGTTTTAATACCTACAGTGTACTAGTATGAGGGTGATCAAGAAGTTCGTGAAGAAACTCTATATCTACAAAACCACAATTCAGATTAGAATCATAGGCAAACTGAAAGTTCTATAAATAGCATATGCTGAAGTTTAGCTCCTTGTTTGTGATGACATAATCTGAAAATGACGTCATGCAGACCTGTACTTTTGACGAAAATTCTATTTACCCATATTGCCAAAATTACGAAAGCCCATTGAGCTCATTTGGGTAAGTAAAAAAAATAAATTTTTCGCGTTATAACGCGAAACTTTCGCGAATAAACGTGTAACTTTCGCGAATAAACGCGTAACGTTCGCGAATAAACGCGTAACTTTCGCGTTATAGCGCGAAACTTTCGCGAATAAACGTGTAACTTTCGCGAATAAACGCGTAACGTTCGCGAATAAACGCGTAACTTTCGCGTTATAGCGCGAAACTTTCGCGAATAAACGCGTAATTTTCGCGTTATAACGCGAAACTTTCGCGAATAAACGTGTCAATTTCGCGTTATAACGCGAAACCTTCGCGATATAACGCGAAACTTCTGCTGTTTGACCAAAACATTTGCGTAAATCTCAACTTTCCTTTGATTTTGTGATCATTTTTTTTTTATTTCAATGATAAGCAATTAAAAGCTATTTTAAACTTGGAGATCTCAGGCTACAAGTTTAAGTTTTTCTTCCTATTGAATCCATCTTTACCGTCATGGATGGTCTTTCTCAGCGCTGTTCAAAGAATTCAAAGATTATGCGAGTTTTCCAAAAGTTAATCTTCAATCCCTATTATTATGATTATAAAGATTATGAATTTCGGGGAAAATCACCCTTTCTAGCGTCTTTATTTATGCACTCTCTAGAAAATTTGAAATAATATTATTTTAGAAAGAACAAGATCTCAGTATTGTGAAAATTGGATAGTAGATTTTCATTTGTCTCCGTTAGATTCACTATAGAAATACGATATCGGGAAAATATTGACAATTAATTCAAAGTGTACAAACTCTGCTGTATATACCTTAATAGTTTTAATTTTTGGTCCTAGTCCACGAATTTTTCTATAAACCCTCCGGATAAATTTGTAATTAACAACAAACAATTATAATTGTTATTAAAATAGCATCATATGGCCCGTCAGGCTCATGAAGTGAAACACTGTTCATTTACTTTTAAGTTATGTTTCTATCGAGTAAAACTTGTAGTCAAAAATGATTGATTGCTTAATTTACTAGTGGTACAGTTGTGTATGCAGAAGGTGTAACTGATTAAAAAACAGCCTGAAAAAAAAGTCTCAAGTGGAGATTTTTCTTAAAACATAATCAGTCAAAAGAACTTCTTGAATTTAAAATTAGAAAAACATGTAAAAGAAAAAATCATTTTATCAATTGGGAAGTTTAAAAAAAGAAGAAAATATTCTCATGACTAATATATTCTATTCTCTTATTGCATCATTCTCCAGTACATCTTCTAAGGAAATTATATTTTATAAATAAGTTGCTGAGAGTGCCGGTCTGTTTCCTTGTTCTTATCGGTAAATCAAGATCAAGGTTCCTGGGTATCATAATATATGCATATTATTTCGCGAAATAACGCGAAAGTTTCGCGTTATAACGCGAAAGTTACGCGTTTATTCGCAAAAGTTTCGCGTTATAACGCGAAAGTTTTGCATAA